TTGATGCATACCTGAGGTCCCAGCTAACTTGGGAGGCTTAGTGGGAGGATCACTTGAGCCCAGGAGGTTGAGGCTGCATTGAGACATGACTGCACCTCTGCACTCCAGCCTGAGCAACAGAGTGAGATCCTGTCTCAAAACAAAAAGAAAAGAAAAGTGGAATTCAGGGACAGAATGGCATTGTGGCTCCATCCCAACTTAGAAGCTCAGTCTCTTCTGCTATAAAATGGGATAAAGAATAATCTTTCCCAAAGAGAAAAGTTAAATACCTCAGTCCTCGTCCTAACCACCCCAACAGCTCTCTTTTCTTCCCAAACTCCTTTTCAGTCTTGTCTCCTCCAGCAGCCTGGGTATTCCCGCATCAATGTAAATCACATGACATGGTCTGTGCCTGTGTCCCCATCCAAATCTCATGTCAAATTGTAACCTCAGTGTTGGAAGTAGAGCCTGATGGGAGGTGACCGGATCGTGGAGGCAGAGTTCTTCTGAATGGTTTAGCACAGTCTCCCCTTGGTACTGTGTAGGGAGTAAGTTCTCATGAGATCTGGTTGTTTAACAGTATGGCACCTCCCCTCTCTCTTCTCCGTCTGCTCCAGCCATGTGAGATTCACTGCTCCTCTCTGCCTTCTGCCATAATTGTTAAGTTCCCTGAGGCCTCCCCAGAAGCTGATGCCGCCATGCTTCCTATACACCCTATAGAACTGTGAGCCAATTAAACCTTTTTTCTTTGTAAATTACCCAGTCTCAGATATTTCCTTAGAGCAGTGCAAAAATTGCACTGATTAATAAATACATCACACCACATCATCTCTGTCTTAAAACTCTTTCTCAGCCAGCTATAGTACTTAGAACAAAATCTAAACTCATCCTGGCTGACTTGGGTCCACCAGCTCTGCTTTTGCCTGCCCCGCTGCAGACACTGTCAGGTCTTGCTGTCCTTTCCCCACCTTTTGAAAAATTATTATTGTTATATACTTTTAAAATTTTTTATTTTTATTTTTAATTTAAAATTTTTTATCTTTTTAGGGACAGGATCTTGCTCTGTCACGCAGGCTGGAGCGCAGTAGTGCAATCAGAGCTCACTATAGCCTCAAACTCCAGGGTCAAGCAGTCCTCCTGCCTCAGCCTCTCAAGTAAACCAGCTAATTTTTTTTTTTTTCTTTGAGACAGAGTTTCATCCTTGTTGCCCAGCCTGGAGTGCAGTGGCGCAATCTCAGCTCATTGTAACCTCTGCCTCTCAGGTTCAAGCGATTCTCCTGCCCCAGCCTCCTAAGTAGCTGGGATTACAGGCATGCATCATCACACCCGGCTAATTTGTATTTTTAGTAGAGATGGGGTTTCTCCATGTTGGTCAGGCTGGTCTTGAACTCCAGACCTCAGGTGATCTGCCTGCCTCAGCCTCCCAAAGTGTTAGGATTACAGGCGTGAGCCACTGCGCCCAGCTGCTAATTTTTATCTTTTACTTTTTGTAGAGCTAGGGTCTCCTTATGTTGGCCAATCTGGTCTCAAACTCCTGACCTGAAGCAATCCTCCTGCCTCAGCCTCCCAGAGTGCTGGGATTACAGTTGTGAACCGCTGTGCCTGTCAGCCCATGTTTGAGGCTGCACTGGCCTCTGGGTTTCTTGAATGGGCAGCCCCTCAGGCTGCTCCGCCTCCCTCTCCTTCCTGTCCTTGCCAACTTCAGCTTAAAACCACATCCTTAGGGAGACGTTCCCTGTCCTCCTGCTGTTTTCCCTCCCACCATCTGTTTAGCCCATTCCCATTTCTTATTACCATGTGTAATGATAGATGTGTTTGCTTACTTTCTGTGTTTTGTCTCCCCGGCACCTGTAAGCTCAGTGAGAGCAGAGATGTGACCTTCTGAGTTTGCCACAGTATCCCTCAGCACCTAGGCCATGCCTTGTTTTACGTGTTCAACAAGTATTTGTTGAATGTGTGAAAATTAATATTTCAAAATCAAAGCTGTTGGAACTTTATTATGAGCCTTGAAGGAGTGTGACTGTGGGACTCAAGTTACATAAACAGACGGCTGTATCCTTTGTCTCTCTGATTATAGATTAGCCTTCTTCCTCACCCACATTGTTTTATAAAATATTGTAAATGACTGAAGGTGCCGGGGAAGACCCCTTCCCCCTTCACTACTGATCTTCATTATAGATTCACTTCCTTCTTTCCTTTCTGATACAAAGACTTCACAACTATCTCATTGTCTAAGATGAAATGTTCTAATCCTACTAAATTTCTTTGTTTTCTGCCTATATAAGCAAGACGTTTTTATTTTAGACCACTGGCTTCATCTCTCTGGCGTCCATGTTTCCTGACTGGCTATTCCTGGCTTTGAGCTCCAATAAGCTCTATACCTAATCATATGTTCTAAATCATGTTATTTAAGGTTGGTGAATAAATAACTATTTCACTTTTCCTCCGGTCTGGTGGTGGGCAAACCCATAGCACTGGACGCGGTGAAAGAGCTGCCAGTTCTTTGTAACCCATACTTCTGGGATGTCTCTTCCGGATCTTCTGGTCTCTTCCTTGGCCATTTCGAATCTCTCTCATCCCCCATCCCCAAGTTGTGGACTGTATCACCTTCTGCAAGTCTAAAATGAAATATATGCTTTCTTGTACTATTCTTTTAGTGTTGGAAGTGCCTCCTGCCACCTTAGGGAACCATCTATTAGTTTACAGTAATCTTGTTTCTTCAAATGGCGTACTGTCTCAAGGGAGTGGGAGGGCTTAATCAATATTCATTCATTCAGCATTCATTTATTAAGCACCTAGGAAGTACCAGTCATTATATTAAACACTCAGGATACAGAAACGAATAAGGCATAGCATTTCCTAACTTCAGGGAGCTCACAGTCTGGGGGTGGGGGGCACATAATTGTAATATTATGTAGCAATTGCAGTAGCTTGCTATGTAAAAGACAAAGGGGGCCAGGCACGGTGGCTCATGCCTGTAATCCCAGCATTTTCGAAGGCCAAGGTGAGCAGATCACTTGAGTCCAGGAGTTTGAAACCAGCCTGGCCAATGTGGTGAAACTCTATTAAAAATACAAAAATTAGCCAGGTGCGGTGGTGCATGCCTGTAGTCCCAGCTACTCAGGGGGGCTGAGGTGGGAGAATTGCTTGAACCTGGGAGGTGGAGGTTGCAGTGAGCCAAGATCGCACCATTGTACTCCAGCCTAGGTGATGGAGTGACTCTGTCTCAAAAAAAAAAAAAAAGACAAAGGGCCACACAGGGGAAGGTAGGTGCTAGCGGTGCCCCATCCAGCTTCCTTTTACTCCCAGCTGCTGTGAGGACTGGCTGATGACAACTCACAACCCCTCCTTCTCCTGGGAGTCATGGTTCCCAAAGGGCAGTCTGGCCCAGACATACAGAAGCTCAGCCCCCTGGCATCAAGGGGGCACTGCCTATGTGGTGCACTTTGGGGTTCCCAAACTTCCCAGAGGGCTCATCCTGAAGCTGGTGTCCACATACTCGCTTGCCTTTCCCGGCCCTCTGCTCTCTTGCCCCTCACTCCCCTCCTCCCGAGAACACTCCCCCGGTGAATCACTTGCTCAAGAATTCTCCTGCTTCTTGAGAACCCCACCTGATACACAGGAGAAGCTCAGCCCTTGGGAGTTGGTTGGCCACAGGCAGTTTCAGGAATCCACAGACGTAAAGAGGCAGCTGAAGATGAATTTCATTCCTCCGGACAGAGCTGGTGGTGAAATGGATGACAGCTGGGTTGCCTTTATCCACAGTAGAAGGTCATTTGTGTTATTTTTATTAGTTTTTTAAATCACAATTCTCCATCTCTGGATCAGAAGCATTCGTCGAACTTCCTGCTTATGGACTGTTAAGGTTCCTGCGTTTGGGAAGAGTTCTTTTTTCCTGAATTCCATGTTGCCCTTGCTTCTTTACTCTTCGTATTTGAAATGATGTCACTGAAAGCAGGTGCTCTTTGGTGGTTGAGACGGACCCACCGTCACCCTTAGACTGGATCCACGTTCTCCCTTGAACTCTTTAGCATCTTTTTGCTTCTCTGAATTGGCAATCATGGGCATTGTCCCTGGAATTCCCCATTTATTGCCTATTTAGTCAAAGAACACTCAAGAACTGAGCATAATTCAGAGCTAACATGGTCTTCTCTGTTATCTCATAGAACGTGCTTACAAAATATTTATTGAATGATAAAAATGAAAGATTAAATGAATGAATAATCAATATTGCCAAACCAGGCCAGTTCCATATAAATGCAAATTGGTTCTCACTTGTGCAATGTCCTTTTGCGGTATGTCTCTTTAATCTGTTTGCCTTATCGTCTCCAACTGGTGGCAAAGACCACATCTTCTGTTTCCCTTTTATCCCTGCAATAGACCACAGAAATCATGTTTGATGGAGTAACTAATTAGTCAGTCAGCATTTATTGAGCACAGACTATTTTAAGTGTATTTTAAAGATGGGAATTTAAAAACAAATAAAACACAGTGGTCTTTAAAGAGCTCATGAAGTCCTGAATATACAATTTGTTCTTAAATAGAGTGTCTTGTTAAATGCATAACTATATTTGGCTTAATATTTGTTCCTTTGTAAACCTTTCATAGAAATAAATCACAAATAATTAAAACATTCTTTTGCAGACCATTGTGACTTAATTTTGTCAGCAAATATGGCTGGTGTGCCAATCAGGCTCTGGCTGTAAGTGTAATTGATACGTTGCTGTTTAGCTAAAAAAGTGAAGTTGCTGGTTCAAATCCTACTGCGTGTACCTGTAGGGGAACTAAGGTCTTTGCTGTGGCGTATGTGTGAATCTGAATCTAAATTGCAGGCTGGGGAAGGCTCACTTTAAACAGCATTATGCTTTAAAGTTCTGACACTAGTTTCCTTGCTCCAGGCTTTGAAATGAAATCAAAGCTGGCTTTGGTCTTGCCTTTAGCTTTGGTCTAGTAATAGCCTGATAAGTACATCTACGGTAGCTTTTTTTTTTTTTTTTTTTAATAACTCTTTCCCTTTAAAGACAGGAACACTGAATTTCTTGGCATCTGTGAGATGAGTCATGCATTTTATAGGCACAGAAATTGAAAGAGGAGTGACTCGCGTACGGCCAGATGGCAAGCCCAGGAATACGGTGAGCCCAGCACCACAGGGCTGCCCAGAACGACTTGGCCTGCTGCCCTTCCTCTTGTCCCTCCGCTGCAGTAGGTGTAAATGTCAGTAAAGAAAGCAAGTGTGGCTCATTGAGAGGAAATGTGACACAAGCCAAGAGTTCACAGCGCTTGAAGCGGTAAAGGCAGATCCAGGTTGAGGATCTGTTCTGCCCAGTTGATGATGAAATACCAACAGTGGATTTCCTTCTTCTCGCCTGCTCCTGTCCCTGCTTGCCTCTGAAAGTCAGCCAGCACACTTTCCTCAGCAAATGGATGGTGGGTTCTGCGAAAAACAATGTTATAATAAAAACAGAAAAGGTTAACCATGCCATTGGCTCTGGCTACCTTAAAGGGTTTTCGTCTCTAAGCTAGAAGACATGCTTCCTTATACTTTCCCTGTCGGGATGGGGCATTTTACTTGTCATCCATAGAAATTCTCCTACTTTCAAGAGTGTAAATTAGTTCAACCATTGTGGAAGACAGTGTGGTGAATTCTCAAGGATCTAGAACCAGAAATATCATTTGACCCAGCAATCCCATCACTGGATATGTACCCAAAGGATTATAAATCATTCTAGTTACAAAGACATATGCACATGTATGTTCATTGCAGCACTGTTTACAATAGCAAAGACTTGGAAGCAACCAAAATGCCCATCAATGATAGACTAGTTAAAGAAAATGTGGCACATATATATGATGGAATACTATGTAGCCATAAAAAAGGATGAGTTCATGTCTTTTGCAGGAACATGGATGAAGCTGGAAACCATCACTCTCAGCAAACTGACACAAGAGCAGAAAACCAAACACTGCATGCTCTCGCTCATAAGTGGGTGTTGAACAATGGGAACACATAGAAAACAAAGGGAGGGGAATGTCACACACTGGGGCCTGTCGGAGGGTAAGGGGCAAGGGGAGGGAGACCATTAGGACAAATACCTAATGCATGAGGGGCCTAAAACCTAGATGACAGGTTGCTAGGTGCAGCAAACGACCATGGCATATGCATATCTATGTAACAAACCTGCACATTCTGCACGTGTATCCCATAACTTAAAGTAAAATAAAAAGAAAAAAGAAATTCTCCTTTTTGGCAATAATGGCGTTAGCAAAAGGATTCATCATCTACGGAATCCCTATTTGAGCCAGGTACCATTGGGAATTTTATTTGGTCTCTTCTAATCGTCATGACAACAGATATTTATTAAGCAACTACAAAGTGCCAGACACCATACTGGGGGCAGGAGACACAAAAATAAGGCACAGTCCCTACTCTCTGGAGTTAAACAGACTAGTGTGGAAGATATAATCATAATCAAGTACCTGTAATGCAGTTTGATAAGGGCTCCAGTGAGAGGTGACCCCAGAAGGTGATGGGAGCACATAGGAGAGGACCCTAACCTGACTTTGAGGTCCCAAGAAAGTCTTCTTTTAGGAAGTGATGTCCAAGCACTATTAGATGGGAAGGAATTCTTTTTGGAGACAGCGTCTTGCTCTGCTGTCCAGGCTGGAAGGCAGTGGTGCAATCATATCTCACCGCAGCCTCGACTTCCTGAGCTCAAGCGATCTTCCTGCCTCAGCCTTCCAAGTAACTGGGACCACAGATGTGCAACCACCACACCCAGCTACTTTTTAAAAATGTATATATATATATTTTTAAATATATATATATATATATTTTTTTTTTTTTCAGAGATAGAGTCTCACTATGTTGCTCAGGCTGGCCTCGAACACCTGAGCTCAAGTGATCCTCTTGCCTCAGCATTCAAAAGTATTGGGATTACAGGTATAAGCCACTGCACCCGTCCCAAGATGGAAATTGTTAGCTCCAGACTTATCTCGGAACCTCATAGAGTTTGTGGAAGACAGAATAATGACCTCCAAAGATGTCCATATCCGAATGACCAGTACCTGTGAATATACATGGGGAAAAAAAAAACCTCTGTCGATGTGATTACGCTACATATCTTGAGATGGGGAGCTTATTTATACTGGGTTAGCTGGGTAGATCCACTGTAATCACATGTAATCACTTATAAAAGGAGTCAAGGCTGTGCACAGTGGCTCACACCTATAATCCTAGCACTTTGGGAGTCCAAGGCTGGTGGATCACCTGAGGTCAGGAGTTCGAGGCCAGCCTGGCCAACATGGTGAAACCCCATCTCTACTAAAAATACAAAAATTAACCACGTGTAGTGGCACGTGCCTATAGTACCAGCTACATGGGAGGCTGAGGCAGGAGAATTGCTTGAACCCAGAAGGTGGAGTTTGCAGTGAGCCAAGATCACACCACTGCTCTAGCCTGGGCGACAGAGTAAGACTCTGTTTTACAGGGAAAAAAAAGAAAAAAAAAGAAGGAGTCGAGGCCAGGTATGGTGGCTTATGCCTATAATCCCAGTACTGTGGGGAGGCCAAGGCAGGAGGGTCACTTGAGCCCAGGAGTTTGAGGCTGCAGTGAGCTATGATTGCACCACTGCACTCCAGCTACTCCACTCCAGCTTGGGCAATAGCGTGAGACCCTGTTTGTAAAACAAATTTTTTAAATATAAATAAAGAGGGAATCAAGAAGGTCAAAGTCAGCAGTTGGGAAATGTGACGACAGAAGCAAGAGGTTAGAGCACCGTGAGGAAGGAGCCATGAGCCCAGGAACGCAGGTGACTTTCAGAAGCTGAAAAAGGCAGGAAAACAATTCATCCTTAGAGACACCTGAAGGAGCCTGCCCTGCTGAAGCCTTGAGGTAGCCCACAAGGCACATTTTGGACCTCTCCCACAACTATAAGAGAGTCAGTTTGTAATGTTTTAAGCCACTGGGTTTGTGGTGATTTGATACAGCAGCAACAGAAAACTAATACTGAGTTTAAGCCGTAACCTTCCCAGTGTCACAAATTAAATAATGATGAAGCCAGGATTAAAACCAAGAGTGAGGCCAGGCATGATGGCTCATGCCTGTAATCCCAGCACTTTGGGACGCTGAGGTGGGCGGATCACGAGGTCAAGAGATCCAGACCATTCTGCCCAACATGGTAAAACCCCATCTCTGCTAAAAATGCAAAAATTAGCCGAGCGTGGTGGTGCACGCCTGTAGTCCCAGCTACTCAGGAGGCTGAGGCAGGAGAATCTCTTGATCCCAGGAGGCAGAGGTTGCAGTGAGCCAAGATCAAACTATTGCACTCCTGCCTGGCGACAGAATGAGACTCTGTCTCAAAAAATAGAAAAAGAAGAGACTAATTCCAAAGCCCAAGTGGTCTTTCCTCAGAGCTTTCCTCTTAGGAAACTCTTTGGGTCTTCACTCAATATACTTTGAAGAACTTGTCTATCAATCTCTCTCCTCTCTTGCCTGAGGCACAAATACATGCTCACAGAGACAGTAAGTGGCATTAGATGCAAAAATGCTGGAATGCAAGGGAACGAACATTCGCAGATGAATGAATGTTTGTTTTCTGAATAGTATTGTGGAAAGGGAACTGGATTAAATGTTAAGAGACTTAGTTCTGGTCCTAGTTCTGATATTAACCAGCTCTGAGACTAGAGCAAAGCCCTTCACATTTCTAAGCCTCTTTTTTGCTCATCTGCAAAGTGAGGGCTTAAGCTCAATCGTTTTTGAATATCCTTTTAATTTCAACTTCCTGCAATTCCTCAAGACTACCAGTATACCCTGCCTCCTCTCTTCAGCACACATACTTTGAGGCCATTCAAGCCTCTAATGGGGGTTCAGTCTTAGCAACTTAGACACCAGTTCATTTATTATTTAGCCAAGGACGAGGAAAGAGACCTCTCCTTTTGCAGTGTAGGCAGAGATCATCTTAAAGTCCCTGAGTTTCAGAACCTCTGCAGATAAGCTGAAAGATTACTTAGCAACTGGCAAAGCTGATGAGAATGATCTGAGTTTGTAAATTCTGACATTGCATGTGAAGTCTTACTTGAGTGGTCTTAAGAGGAAAAAATAGTTCCAACTAGTTCTGGAAATGGCCATACTCCAGGTCGTCTGGTTCTTGAAAGAGGAGCTTGAAATAAGATCTGGATCATTGGCAAATGATCTTAGGGGCCTCAGTCTATTAGATTCAAGGCTGTTTCAAGTTATGCGTGCAAGCCAAAAGCAGTACTGAGGCTTTAGCAATGCAGGAGTGATCCCTGCGGTTTTCAGGCTGCCTTAATGATTATACTTGCCATGTCACAGCTTGGCATATCTGAAGCATGGAAACCACAGCACACATTTCCCTCTATCTTTCTGTGCTGGTTCTAGTTACAATTCTACCAACGCTGCTGCTGTTTCCCACACTGGTTCCTTGACATTCCTCTGCTTTCTGCACTGTAGATGCCCTAGAAATTAAGGAGGCAAACATATTAATCATTAGCCTGACCAATCGGCAACAATAAATAATAAACACTCCCCTGGCCCTAAAGGACTTTTCCTTCTTGACAGCGTTCATCACTTTCTCCTAAAACCAGTTTCCACACTATTCTAGGATGCTTTACTCACTTCTTGTTCTTGGCTGCCCCTGCTTACCCTCTGGCTCCTCTTCCCTTTGCCTGCTCACTCATAGTCTTCCATTTTTCTTTCTTTCTTTCTTTCTTTTTTTTTTTTTTTTTTTTTTGATACAGACTCTTGCTCTGTCGCCAGGTGCCAGGCTGGAGTGCAATGGCGAGATCTCGGCTCACTACAACCTCTGCCCCCCAGGTTCAAGCAATTCTCCTGCCTCAGCCTCCCAGGTAGCTGGGACTACAGGCACGTGCCACCACACCCAGCTAATTTGTCTGTATTTTTAGTAGAGGTTGGCCAGGATAGTCTCGATCTCTTAACCTCGTGATCCGCCCGCTTTGGCCTCCCAAAGTGCTGGGATTACAGGCTTGAGCCACTGCGCTCAGCCAGTCTTTCATTTTTATGCTTGGTTCTCAACTTTCATCTGCACATTATCTCCCTTGACAGCCTCGTCCAATCTCAGTGCTTTAACTTCTTATTGCAGACCACACTGAAGTCTACAGAGAGCTCCAAGCTGTCTCTCGAGCCTCAGTCCCACATACTGAAGACAGTGCATCACAGAGCCTGGGCTGAATCCCATCTCTGCCACTCAGAACAGCTGCGTGAATGTGGTCACATGACATCAGCCTTAGTTTCTTTATTCATAGAATGGGGAGAATCACAGAATCCACCTCTTAGTGTTGTAGTAAGCATTTAGATGTTAATTTTGTAAAATGATTGATTCAGAGTAGTTACTTAATAAATAATACCTTTTTTTTTCTTTTGACATGGAGTCTTGCTCTGTCACCCAGCCTGGAGTGCAATGGTGCAGTCTCTGCTCACTGCAGACTCTGCCTCCTGGGTTCTAGCAATTCTCCTGCCTCAGCCTCCCAGGTAGCTGGAATTGCAGGCATGCACCACCACACCCAGCTAATTTTTATATTTTTAGTAGAGACTGGGTTTCACCATATTGGCCAGGCTGGTCTCAAACTCCTGAC